ATAATGGAGAAAAAGTTTGACAGTTTGTAGAGGTTTCAGTTCATAGTTGCCTGGCTCCGAGGCAGGGCAGCATTGCCAAGGGGCATCACAGAGGAAAGGAATTCATGGTGTGGAAGACAGAACGCAGTGCGCACCCAGCAGCCAGCATGCCTTTCTCTTTTATCCCATCCAGGCTGCTAGCCTTTTGGCTGGTACCACCCAGAACCATGCTAATTCTAATCAGTGAACTAACTAGTACAACACACCCTTAATCCAAGTTATCACATACTCTAAATTCTCTCAGCTCCCAAAAGCCCCACTTACCCCATGAAGCTTTGGGGTGACATCTAGATGCTAACTGTAACAACTATGCTCATATGCAGAGAGTATGTGGGGACATGTGTTTGTTAATTTGATCGATGGTAATTACTGTACCATATGATAAGTTATGGGAGACACTTTGTTGTGTTTTTTTTTTTTGGTGGAACCAGGGATTGAACTCAGGCCCTTGCACTTGCCAGGGAAGTGCTTATACCACTGAGCCATCTCCCCAGCCTCTATGGGAGACACTTTGAATATGTAGTTTTTGTCATTAGAAAAAGAAAAAATAAATGTGAAATATATTGAAGTTTGATGTTATTGCTCTAAGTGAAACATCATTTTTAATGTGTTTTAATTTTTACTACTTTAAAACATCAAATATTTAGTCATTTTAAATACTAAGTATTTAACAACATTTTGATATGTTTATTTTTAAAAATAGACCTATATTTATTTTACATTCATGTTAATATACACCTGGGTAGGAGGCTGAAGCACAAGTATGAGTTTGAGTCCAGTCTGGGCTACATAGCAATTTCAAATTCAAACTCAATACCTTGTCTTCAGAAAATAAAAATTGATACACATGTACATCTTGTCCACTAAGTCATAGAAAAATGCATACATACCAGAATGCTGGCTTTCTGTAGCAGTGGTTCTGAAATGCATGGTACTGAATTTAACCTTTAGGATCAATAGGTCTTTCGTGGGCCAGTAAGTATACCTTTTCAGCAGCAGCCCAGGTGACTTTGATGCTAATGTCTAGAGGAAACATAGGGGATATTAAAAGGGATGTTTCTATTTACTGTCTATAATATAATGTAGATTTTTGGCTTTTGATTTTTTGTACTGGGAATGGAACACAGGCAGGTGCTGTGCTGCTGTGCTACATCCCTAACCCTTCTCTATAATATTAACATATGGCTTGAAATAATTTTAAAAATATTTTAAAACAGGTATAGAAAATGAAGACTCAGGGCCAGGGAGATAGCTCAGTAGAGTAAGTGCTTACCTGGCCCTGGTAAGCGCAAGGGCCTGAGTTCAATCCCTGGTTCTACCAAAGAAAATGAAGACTCATTGAAATACAGATTTAATTATATTATTGTATTTAATTTTCACAACATATTCTTAGAACTTTTAAATATGAAGCAAGTAGTTGTATTTCTACTTCTTAGCTTTTTGTGTTGGACGTTTAACCATTTTTAACTACATAGACTTCTCATATATTCTTGAGAACTTGTTTATAGGTTCTAGTAAGGAAGTGCAGCTACTCATTCGTATCCCTGACCGAGAAGTGGAGTGGTGCTCTTCTTTGGCAGAGGGCACAGCTTCAGGAGGGAAACAGATGGAGCAGTGAAGGAGGAAGGAGACACCTGCCTAGCCAGCCAAATCATCTGAATCAACCCTGGAAATCAGTAGGGTGACAGATGTTGCAGCCAGATCGCCCTCATATTCATATTGTTGAATAACAATTATCTCTGGACTTTTTTTTTTTTAAATAAAATAAACTTGACTTTCCTAGTAAATATAGTTATGTTTTTGTCCTTTACTTAATTTTTGTTTTTCTCTCAGTGCTATGATGGAAAGAAGCTATGAGCAGACCAAACTGAAGAATAGGATTTCTGACACTTTGGCCACAGTGGTCACACAATTCCTCATTGTTATTGTTGCTGTTTCCCCAGCCTTCATCCTGGAGATCTCTACCCTTTCACAAGGAAGCCCCTGTTTATCATTGTGGATTCTTCCAACAGTGTTGCATACAAGGTGAGTGTCCTGAGAGCCAGTGCATATATGGACATCCCAGCACCACCTCAGGGATACCTACTCTTAACATGTGCCCTTTTTTGGGCTTTATTTAATTTTACAGTTTGCATTTAGTGTTTCTTTGAGGTTGTGCATGCTAGTCAAAATCGGGTGCTATAAATAGAAATGACAAGAAAGCACATAAATGGACACTCAGTGGAAACTAGTAAATACTCCTGCAGGAAAAAAAAAAACCCTCAAGATTACGAAGATATGGTGGGAAGTTTATTTTTGTTACATAGCCCAGAACAGGTTGTTGTTTGTTTAATAGAGGCAGAAATATATTAATGAATTTTATTTTCTGATTTTCAAACATTTTCTTCTGCACAGTGAGCTACCATAGATTAAGTGAAACTTACTACACAGTGATAGTCTTTTAATATTAACATATTGTTTCTTCTTCCTTTTCAGATTTTTAAATGTCTTTATTAATGACAGGTTGTCCATTGCTCTTTGTGCTCTTACTGGTTTTCTAGACACAGCTCACCCAGACACTGTCAGCTTATCAACATGTGGCTTTCCTTCTTTGTTCATGCTGGGTTGATATCTTGAAAACAAACTATCTTGTTTATTCCAGTATCAGCCAACAGCATTCTTACCGTATTGTTTCCCATCATGGTTGGGTGGAATTCCAGGATTAGCTTCATAACCTGCACTTGGCTCCAGTGTTTTCACCCTAGAAGTAGAAATTTCAGGCCTCCTGAGCCATATGATCTCCCATTTTCATTGCTCCTCTGCCACCAATTCTGATCTAATTCTCAGATCCATTTAGGCCATTGGCTATAAATTTCTTGTCTTTGGTATCTTTACTCTTTCACCTCACACTGGCAAATCATCCACGCTTCCTCCCTTCCACATTGCTCCTCTTGTCTTAATCATATTTCTTTTCTTCCCCTCTGTCCCCACTTTCTTTATAGGGTCTTGCTGTATAATTCAGGCTGGCCTTGAACTATGTAGCCCAGGCTGGTCTTGAACTCACAGCAGCTCTCCTTCCTCAACCTGCCAAGTGCTGAGATTACAAGCATGTGCCACCATGCCTGACTTTTGTAATTTTTGACTGTGAACTTTTCCATGCATCTCAGTTCTTCATAGCATTTCATCAAATCTTGACACAAAATATTTGCATGATGCTCGTGATAAGTATCTTCCATTTCTCTTTCCAGTTTATCTTTTGTATCCTTTGTGGGTTTTTTTTAACTTGTTCTCTTTGTTTTTCCATTTTATCCAAGAATTTCCATTGCTGAGAATGTTCATAATTAAATGTGCCATGCTGAGCGAAACAAGGACGTATATCCCTTTCCAGCTCTTTTTCCTTCCTATTCCCAACTCACATCTCTACAATTTCCAACCTTTTTTTCTATATAATAATTTCCGTTTTTTCTGTATAATCTTGATTAGGTATATAGTGCTTATACATATTGTTTCAACTAAAACTAAAATTCTCTGCACAGCTACACCACAGTGTAAACTATGACTGTATTTCCTTTACTTTCAAAGTTTTCACATTTTATTTTATTTTTTTAAAATTTTATTTATTTGTGTGTGTGTGTGTGTGTGTGTGTGTGTGTGTGGCCAGCTCAGCCCACCAGGGGGCGGGGCTGGCTGGCATGTGGTGCTGGGGGATTGAACCGTGGTCCCTGTGCTTTGCTAAGCTTGTTCTAAGTAGGTGCTTTAGACCACTGAGCCATCTCACCAGCCCAGTTTTCACATTTTAAATTTTTTTAAATTTTGCTAGAATTGTCTTTTTTTTTTTAACAGACAACATTGACCCAACCCGCGGGTTAGTCAACGAGGACCCTGGAAGGGGAGTGGGGATGAAATAGGGACAGGAGACATGAGAAATGGAGGCAAGACAAAGGTTCTGATCAAGCCCCGTTTATAAAAGGCAGTCTCAGAGAATTTATAGGAAGCGGGGAAGAGGGAGGAGTGATTATACGTCATCAGGTCGCTAGGCACTGGGGGGTGGTCTCTAGAATGGAGATCAGGCAGGTGACTTCTGGAAAATGGCTCGGAGGAGAAACAGAAACTTAGCTCTGGGAAGGTCACAAGACAACAGATCAAATGCAACAGTCTGTACTATGAGGCCAAGCATTGGTCTCCCACAAACATTAATTTTATTTGCGTTTATTTTATGCTTAATTTCTTCCCGTGCCATAAGTTTTTGTTTCTTCAGTTTCTTCTGGGATATCTTTTTCTTCTGTGCAACTTCCTCTTCTGCTTTGGGAACAATTTGTTCCTTTTCAGTAAGGATCATCTCAATATGGCAGGGGGAGCTCATGTGTGGATTAATCCGGCCATGAGCTCTATAAGTACGGCGGCGCGTCTTGGGTGCTTTGTTCACCTGGATGTGTTCAATAACCAGAGAATCTACATCTAAACCCTTAAGTTCAGCATTACTCTCTGCATTTTTAAGGATGTGCAGCAAAAATCCAGCACTCTTTTTGGGCCACCGACCCTGTGTCCACCCCACTCTTTGGCCTGGGCATACCTACCAACTCCACCGTTGTAACGCCAGAATGGTACACATTGCTTATTTAATGTGACATCCTTGAGATACTTGGTGGCCTTTCGGCTATGCATACCCTTGATGGCCTGGGCAGTTTCACGCGTGTTCTTAAAGTGAACGCGAAGATTTGAGCCTCTTGATTTGCATGATTTTTTGGGGTTTTCTGGGTCAAGAGAGTAGCGAACCATTTTCACAGGTCACCTAAGGCTGCTCACAGGAAGAGTAGAATTGTCTTTTTCTAAGCTATTCATTAAACCAACCCCAAACACATCAGTAGCCCTTAGTTGTATGTGTGTGTGTTTATATTTATGTACATGGATCTTTATGTCCCCAATGCCTTACAATTACAAATAATGTGGGCTGAGGTTGTACTTCAGTGGTAGTGATTTACCTAGCATATTCAAAGCCTAATTTTATTGAGAAATAAATAGCAATGAGACAGTTTCAAAACCGATTAGTAGGACAGTTTCAATAATTAATACATTGCATATTGTTGTCTTCTTAGTGGTTATTTATAGTACAAGATGGAGACGTGATATCCGGTCCAAACACTATCAGTACAAATCTTTCTTCTCATTGAATTAAGAGAAAGTAGTGGTATATCTATCCTAACAATTTTGTATATACAGATACAAAATGGTCCTTCATTTGATTCCCCTTGTTTTGTTTAGTGTTGTCAGAGATGGATATTCCAGTGCCATTTAAATATTGTAGGTGTGCAAATTCAGCAAAATAATCCAATATAGTCCAGTAGTCCATAATAGTAGTGGGTTATCTGTAGGACTGGCAATGTCAGAAGTGGTTGACTTGAGCCTTTTACATTTCGGTATGTTAATATGGCTTTACTTTTTATGCCTCATTTTTATACTTTTCTGCTGGATGGTTAAGACCAAGATAAAGCAAGACCTATATAACAAGAAATGTAACTTTTGTATCTGA